TTATATTACAAAATATGTTTTTAAAAAATATTACTTTTTGGAATATAATAAAAAAAATTTATTGAAATTTTTTTCTATTATTTAGTTAGCAAAATGAAAATCTTAAAATTTCCAAAAATTAAGGGACAAGAGGATTAAATTGGATAAAAAATTTGTTAAAACAGATTATACATCTAAGTTTTGTTAATTTTATTTTTTTGAACAGGGTACAAATGTGGGGGTAGGGGTTTGATCCCAACCTAGAGATTGGGGATGCACTTTCAAAAAGATTTAAAACTATCAGGCCAGTAGGCCCAAATGCACGTTTTGTTAATTAATTCCAAAAAAAAATTAAAATAAAAAGATTATTAAACCCTTCAACTCTATAACAATTAATCAATCAAAGAAAATATCATTTGTTGGCCTCCTGGCTTCTTCCCCTTTGCTTTTCTTTATGACACTAGTGAACCGGCGTCAGTAATCGACATCATATAATTTATTAAAGTTACCAAAAGTTTTAAAGGATGTTTGAATTAATTATTTTGATACAGTTGATATTTAAGAATAATTATTTAATAATTATTAATAAACATTATTTATAGAACCCGACCTCCGGGTCTTAGTAGTTCACTCCAAACCTCAAAGTATTTGGTTTGTTAGTTGATGTTTTGAATCTTATCAACACCTTGAAAATCTCATTCTCTTCTTTCCAAATTATACAATGTTAAAAAAAATAATTATTTATAATTTTAAATATTTAAATCCTTCGACTAAAACTACCAACTAATAATTGTTCTCTAGTTTCTAAACCGAACACTCTCTTAAATTTTTTCTTTATAATTAGTATTTTACCCTTTCTTTTACCCAACATCAATCCCTTCCTCTTCACCTTCCATCAATCCCATAATTGTTAAAATCGTATGATTTTATGTTTTTAGATATTTAAATCGAGTTAAATCAAAATAAAAATAAGAATCTCTTAAACTTAAGGTAAATCATAGTAAAATCATAAAATCGGATAAAATCACAATTTTATAAGTTTCAAGTTTTTATAGATTTTTTGTGATAAAACTTGACAATTAATCCTTTGCAGCGCACACATGGGGGTTACAGAAATAAAGTTTGGTAGACCACGGTTTGAATTTTGTCCATGTAATTTGGCTTATTTTGGTTGTCAAGGAAAATTTTCCAAAATTTTATTATTTTTCACACGGTAAACTAATAATTTTTTTATGAAATATATTTTTTTAGGTCAAACTATTAAAATTTGAAATAGTTTAATGATAATAAAATAAAAAAATACTCAACAAAGACTTGAAATAATTAATTAGTAGGTAGTAATCTTGGAGAATTTTAAATTTAAATATTTGATGTTAAATTTTAGCAATATTTAATTTTTTAATTAATTTGATAAACTCTCAATTTTATCAAATTGATTTTAGAATTATAATTTTATCTCACCAAAACAATTTTACCTAAAATCTCAATTTTAACAACCTTGCTCTTGATAATGCAATGCCCACAACTCAGTGAAAATGAAAATTGGTACTCATGCAGCTCCTAAGCTGGCTACACCAATTACCCATCAACTCCGCCTCCTTCCACCTTTCTGTCTCTCATTGAAGCTCTCCCTCCTTGCCTCTACCTCCTCCACACCCATTGCCTCTAGTGGCACAACATGTTTCATTCCTCATGCAATTTCCCTCTCTTTCTTAACTATGGTGCTTAATATTACCTCCAGTGGCACATCCCCTCCTTTCAAGTCCGAGTCTGATACCTTTTCGCTTTCTCTCACCCTCAGTATCATTCACCTTCAAAGTTCCAACTTCAATTTTCCAAATCTTATTTCCCAAAATCTAACCGTTAAGTTTCCAAAGTTAAATTCCAAAATCAAATAGAAAATTAGATCCAACTGTCTCTCTGAATGGAAACTCTACTTCTATCCCCTCTCTAACTTTCTATGATTGTTTAATTTTGAGGCTTAGTGTGTTTTCTTGGGGTCAAACCCTCAAATTCGCCCATCAAATATAGGGTAAGGACAAATCCATCTTTTAAAAAAAAGAGAGGATAAATTCTCTTTTCAATTATTGATTAAAACAAATTATTCATTATTTAACATATAATGTCATCACATGTCAAAAGTCTGTGTACTATTTAAGCATTTTTTGTTTGCTATCGAAGTATTTTTTAATAAAAAATTGATGTGTGATAACATTATATTAAATAATATATGATTTATCTTAATTGATAATTTAAATAGACAATTTATTCTTATATTTTTTAAATATAAATTTATCCCTATTTTCTTATTTAAAGGGGTAAATTTAAAGTTTTACTTTTATTTTTTTACTATTATTAATTTCTTCTGAGATAAATTGTTGTGGGCCGTTTGAATTTAGGCAAAAACCCCACTTAAGCCCCTCAAACCCCTCAAACCCCTCAAACTTATCTTAAAATAGTATTTGAGCTCTTAAATTAAAAATAAATTTAAAATGATCATTTTTAGTTTCTCAACTTCTAATATATGCATATTTTTTGTTCATTCACTTTAAATTAAAGGACTAAAAATATGTATATTTAGACAAATTTAACAAAATAATTAATAAAAAAATTAAAAAAATATGAAAAGTTGACTAAAAAAGTACATAAAAAAATTAAAAAATAAAAATTATGTAAAACATTAATTTGAGGACAAAAAATAAAATTTACTCTTTTAAAATTTAAATTAAGTTGTACGGTCAATTTTTGTGTACCGACTAAAATTGCAATTGCAAGAAACCCCTAATCCAAAATGGCGTCGTCTTGGGTCTGAGAATCTTTTTTATTTTTAATTTACCAGTGTGTATTGGTTAAAATTTTTGTGAATTGATCGATACATTGACATTTCGATCGATACATCGAATCTTGACCAAATCAATCAAATTTTAATCAAAATAAATTTTTATATTATATCATTTGATCAATACAAAAAAATCGATACGTATCAACCATATCGATCGATACAAAATGAAATTCACTTCTTTGGTTTAAAATCAAAATCATTACTTTTTATTTAAAAAAATTATTATTAAATTACTTCTTTTATCTAAAATATATTCATATTTTATTTCACTTTAAGAATAACATCGTACGCATAATTAGAACTTTCTTAGATTCTCGGCTACACATTGCATGATATTACTGGGCAACTCTTCCACCCAATACTTACCATCATCATTTGTTAAGGCTCTTTTTGCCATCTCATGGGCCACACTATTCCCCTCCCTTCGAACATGCCACACAAAACAGTCATCTAAACTACTTAGCAGCATTCGACAATAATCTTCAATAATCATCTCTAACTCTGATAGCCCACCTCGGTTTGTAGTAGAAATTGCACTCACCACATGTGCTGCATCACCTTCTACTTCTACCTTTCGGAGACCCAACTCTGCCACCCTGCTAAGTGCTTCCCTAATGCTATAAGCCTCCACTACCACCGCTGGAAAATACCCACTCCCTCTACAAGCCATAGCTCAAATCATAAATGTATGTATTTTAGCCTTGTGCTCCCTCAACTTTTAGATATGTAAACTTTTAAAAAATATTAAAATTATCCTTAAATGTCTATTATTATTGCTAATTTCGTCCATTCGTCGTTACATGGCCAACTTTCCTGTTAAAGGTGTCATATTTTTATATCTCAATATTACTTGCATATGCCAGGTAAACTAAAATATTGATGTGGCAAAACTTTATAATTGATTTGGCAACATGACCCCTATTATTTTAATAATTTAATACTTAATTATAAGAAATTAAGTCATTTAAGTAATCAATCATTAAATAATTATGTAATTAATTACCATAAATAATTATGTAATTAATTATTTAAATGTAATCTTAATCACAAATAAATCAAAATTTTCGTAGAATTTCTTTCCTTTTATTGTCTTCTTCACCGGTAACCACAAAACTC